CCGTGAAAATTTTCGTGCGATGATTTTTTACGATTTTCGGCGTGGATTATCGAGACAAGAGTGTCTCGATCAACTTGTTTCGACTTTTGGTGATGAAGCACCATCAAAAACCATTGTAAATCGCTGGTACCAAGAGTTTGGTTTCGGACGCCGTTCGCTCCAGGATGAATTTCGTGAAGGTCGGCCAATTTTCAACACCTGAAGAAGCAGTCGATGCGTTCAAAAACCATGTTTTGGAGGTGTCTCAATCGGAGTGGAAAAAGTGCTACGAAAATTGGTTTCAGCGCATGCAAAAGTGTATTGATCTTCATGGGGAATATTTTGAAAAACAATAAAACCATTTCCAATGATAATGTTTGTTTTTTATTGCTAGACCCGAAATATAAATAGTGACCCTCGTATAAACCTGAGATTAGCCACGTTTGTCATGGTATCTGTTTTATATATGAATATGCTTAGCTACCAAAATGTTTTATTTTCTCGTTTGGTTTCTCAGATTCCTAGTCTTCTCGATTCATTTCAATTCAATTGTCTTTCAATCTTGTTTTTGCTGATCTCTTGGATGTAAATTTTGTCGCGCAGTCGTTGAATTTTAAATACACCGTCCGATTATTATATTTTCTTAGTTGATTTAAGCTTTTCGATAGTTACAATCGTAAGTAAACTATTCTCATGTTTTTTCTTTTGAGTGGGCTAATCTATTTTGTTTATATTCCATCCTCCTTACCGTTATATCCTTCCTTTTCTTACTTTCGATGAAGTTGATAAAGTGTTCTTTTGAATTTCCATTTTTGATTGTCATATTTGCTATGATTTTATATCTATCTATAATTTCTCTTCTCAGCCCAAGTATAATCATTTTGAACTAGTTCAAGCTTGTCTAAATCCACTATAATCCGGACAAATTCAGAAAATATCATATTAAATTAAAGTTTAATGTTCTTAATCAAAAAATGCGTACCACACTACCAGTCATACAGCCGGTTTATATATATTCAAGATATATACATACATATTTTTCACAATATAAGCCTTTGTTATAGAACTTTGTCCATTATGAGCGCTAAAGGTATCAGTGTACATATCATGTTTTTTAATTAAGTGAAGTAGGGTAATATTATCAAGCTAACTGAAAAATATGTAGGTAAAATATATGACTTTTATATCGTCGTATACCTCAAAAAAATTGTACATGTTTTGAACAAAACTGCTTGCCATTTTTTACTCGCTTCAAATGAATTATAAACGAAAAAACTGCATTATGTAATATTGAAATAAAAATATAGACATTAAAAGTATTCTACTACTCTAAAGAATAAGTAAACGCAGTGTAATGCCACCTGCGTAGATGTATAATTAAAAATCAAGTTTAAATTGCGCAAAACAGAAAACGGCCAGTAAATTAGTAACTATTAATTGGTTATTTAAGCGTATAAGGATTAAATTACAATTTACTTTTCCAATAGCCGGAATATTTAATATCTTCCTTGTGTATTAAGGTTTCAATCAAAAAATGTTATTAATTGAAAAGCTAAACAAGTTTTATAATATACAAGTATTTTGTCTTCTTTACAGACATACACACATTATACAACTATATTTACGTATTTATTGTTAAAAACAAAGAATATGCTAATATTTTTATTTATTACTTTATAAACTGGTCAAAAAACGATGGAAATTAATTAAAAACAAATTTTAATTAAGTTAATATTAAAATATGCAATGAAATGGGAGTGTTATTTTCTACGAATAATTATACTCCAACAAAGTTGTAAGCATTTTTCTTAAAATGTTAATGAAGAACATAGCAAGTAAATGGATGAAGTATAAGCTACAGTCCATCAAAATCATAAATCATATTGAAAGTTTTCTTCCTACAAGAATGAGATGCGCATTGTACTAAAGATATTTTGTCACAACACTAGCAAATATTAAAATTCATGAGCATAAATAGGGGAAAATATGAGTTACACGCTATACATAAGAATATACGTAGATTCTACTATTCTGAAGTCCAAATAAATTTGTAGAGTCTAAATAAATTCAAGATAAAAGAAGCAAATATATGCTTAAGGGGCATACGGAAGCTTAATGCTAATAATTATATCATATAGCATAGGTCCTTCAAATGTGGTTTCAAATAATTTATTTTTGGAATTTATTTATGGATCGCCCTTTTTTCCCTCAACTTACTTTGTTAATAAATTTTATCAAAACCGTAAAAATTTTGAATACGGAATATTAAAACAAGTAAAAACGTTTCAGTCGGTATGAACCGATTGAATTATACCCTGCACCTTTCATTGTTGTATAGCAATTACTCAAACCTGTGAAACCATTCTATAGAAACTTCACGGATATGTCTGACCTATAACTAAACACACAACTACCAAGTTTCATGAATCTGACTTTATTATTTTTCCAAATATTTAAAATTAGCTTTTATATTTGTATGGCAGGTACTCGAACCTGCCAAGCAATTCCACTAAAACTTCGCTAATATATCTGATCTATAATTGGACACACAACTGCCAAGTTTCATGAATCTATTTTTTTTATTTTTTCAAATATTTAAAGTGCGCTTTTGGACTTGTATGGGAGCTACTCGAACCTGTCAAGCAATTCCACCAAAGCTTCAGAAATATCTTTGACCTATAATTGGACACACAAGTGCCAAGTTTTATGAATCTGACTTTATTATTTTTTCAAATATTTAAAATAAGGTTTTGGACTTGTATGGGAGCCACTCGAACCTGTCAAGCAATTCCACCAAAACTTCAGAAATATCTTTGACCCATAATTGGACACACGACTGCCAAGTTTCATGAATCTGACTTTATTATTTTGCCGAATATAAAAAATTTGCTTTTGGAGTTGTATGGCAGCCACCCGAACCGGTGCAGCTATCTCATTAAAATTTTTAGAGCATATGTAGAATATAATTGGACATATGTATACAAAATTTTATATTTGTAACTTTATTAGTTTTTGAAATAATTAAAATAAACTCTTTGAGTTGTATGGCAGCTGCCCGAACCCGTTGTCCGAATTGGTCCAACAACAATAGGGTTCGTCCTTGGCACAAAAGAAGCAACTTGTGAAAGTTTGGTGTCGATTGCATTATTCGTTTTTGAGTTATCGTGCGATCGATCGGACGGACGGACGGACGGACGGACATGTCTAAATCGACGCAGAATTTTACGCTGAGCAAGAATATATATATATGTCCATACCGCAGATGACTCCTTCAAGTAGTTACAAACTCCATACCAAAGTTAATATACCCTTCACGAAGTGCAGGGTATAAAAAGGAAAACAATAACTTTACTGACAGGGGCCTTTTACTAATATCTTCCAAATTTTTATTTAAATAACAAATTATTTTTCACGATCAATCCGAATTGATTAACTAAATCAATTTCAAATATAAATTTATCTTTTTAAATTGCCTTCCAATAATGTACAAAAGCACTTTAAAACTTAAATTTGCAACTTTTTAAAACAATTTCTTCGAGTGTTTGTAGCTATTGACCGGTAGATGTCAGAATTATTTAAGAAAAAAAACAACAGGTATGTATAAACCTGTTGTTTAGTTTTTAATAAAAGAAAAGCTTTAACTTTTCGATCACAGGGCAAAACTTTTTTCTAAACATGATTTTTAGTATTATTAATTGGTTCGTGTCTAAAATTAAATATTTTTCTAATATTGATTTGTCCCTGAAATCTTAAATTACATTTTTAAACTTCTAAAACTTCGAAATAATGTCGTCATACATTACGCACAAAGTTTTAAAATTGAAATTGATTTATCGTAAAATTTGAAAAGAAAAATAGACATACAAGTACGAATAGGTTTGTGTTTCTGATAGTAAATTTTGAATTTTTACAGTATCAATTTACCTAGGCCTAGAAGATGAATCTTAAAAAACTTATATGATTATTTTTAATTTCATCAGATGCTTAGGGACTAATTGTCTATCTAGCTATTTTACTAGACAAGTGAGAAGAAAGTGAGTAATGGTTATGTATTTGCTTAATGTAATTAAGCATAATGGGAAGAGTAATTCGGTATTGTGTACCTCATTTTTTCGTAAAATGTATACAAAATATTGTATTCACTTTGTTTTTGAAAATGAAACGTTCAGTTTATAGTTTAAGAAAAAATGCGAAAATCCAATTCAAAAAATGAATAACCTTATTGCAAAAACGAAATATCTTTTAGAAAAACGAAGAATTCCGGTTTGAAAGTGAATAAAAAATGAGATGAGCAAGAAGAACTATTAGGCTGAATATAGAATATAGAATTTAAGTTATTGTATTACGGAATTCAAGAAACTTTTCTGTGTAAAGGCGGAAATGTCTAGTAACATTATTTATTTCATAAATAAATCAACAAGAGTAATTTTTATTAAATAACGGAAAACATTAGCTTAAATATTGAGAATTTACTGTTCTAATTTGATGCCATTGATGCAAATCAACATGTTCACTAAGCTTTAAGTTTCTCAATAAAGTTTTGAGTGTCAATCAATTAACCCATAACTCTAGAATGAATGTTTTGATGAAATATTTGTATTTTAATTTCGTTTCTACCAAGGATCCTGGAATCTTTATGTGTAAAAATTCTACGAACGCACCTATAAAATCTATTTGTAAATTCTGTATATGTTTCCATTTAGAACAATCCTATACGAGTAATAAGACTCAGCAAGTTTTAAAAACTTCATTATACTCCCTTATCCTAAGTTAAATTTCATTATACATATAATTTGTTTCTCTTTTAAGTTTTTTGGAGTTTTCCTCAAATTTGTCGTCGTTTCCTTAACCTTTTTAATATTAATTATACATCCATATTACTGTGAATATCAATTCCTGTATGATGAAAATCATTCAAGAATACTGTGAAAATTAATGTATAATCGATTTTTTATTGAAATTTTAAAAAAATAAAATAATTTACATGTACAAACTAATGTATATTTTTATTAAACCTGTTCTTTTAAAGTATGACAAAATATTTTTATATAAAATATTCAAATAAATTGAATGTAGTACAATTTGTTTGTGACTTTTGCTACTATAATTTGCTTCGTTACATAATATAAAAGAAATGGAAATAATAATTTTAAGTTTCCTTCTTTAAAATTTTTCTAGTTAATGCACATAAAGTAAGAATGTTTCAAAATTAAAACTCATTATCTAAAAAAAAATTGCGTAAATTTAAAAATTATAATGTAAAAATATAAAACAAAAAAAACCAAAAACTAAGTTTAATTGAAAGTGAACAACTAAATATAATTAAAATGAAAGGAAATAATTTTGTTGTTCGAATACTATAAGACAATACGCTGGATATGATTTGGATTGACTTCATTCCCTCCATTTAAGCTTTCCGTTTGCTTCAATTTTCTGTGACCAGCACGTTTTCCCTAAAAAAAAATTATTAATTAAAATTAGTAAACCTTATTTAAAGCCTGAACTTATTTGAAAAAGAAATTGTTTACCTGGCGAACTTTTGTAGATTTTGATTGCTCGATTAATTTCTTAGGCACCATAAATAAATTATCTGATTGTGTTATCAAAATACTTGCCATATGACAACATTCTGCTGCCACTTTTACTTGTTCTTCAATATTATTTTTATCAATTGGATGAATATATCGTGGAGGAAATAAGGATGGTGCTATTATTGTAGCAACATTATGTTTTGTCATTTTATTTGCGTCCTGACGCTCAATGACATAATTCAAGAATTTTAATATTGAACGTAGAGTATTTCTATTTTCGTGTGGCAGCAACAAACACACAAGTGATAAAGCTTTATATCGATCCGGTAAATTTATGGCATTACATTGATAAAAAAGTTGTATTAATTCACATGTTAATAAGGGTTGTGGTAATTCACGTAGCCACCTTTTTAGAAGTGCACTCAAGTCGTGACAACTAGCTTCGCTCAATAATTTATGAACTTTTTCTGGTTTCTGATAGAATATCGATTCCAATTCTGTGTAAAGAATTTCAGTCTAAAATAAAAGTATAATTGTTTTTTTAAGTATTGATATTTTAAAGTTTCATAATAAGATTGAAAATTTTTTACCTTCTGTTTGTGTCCAGCAACTCGAAGAATTCCTTTTTCTGTAGCACCACGTTTTGTTAATTCAGCCAGCACCCCTTGTAAAAATAATGGAACTAATGTTGAATCTTCACCTGTTATTTGCTGATCTCTTCTTATCAAAGCATTCAAAGAAACCCCAAAAAGATTTCCTTCTTCTTTACGTCTCCTCTTAAATGGTTTCCTTTTATCTAGGGTAACTTGATGTTTATCAAAAAGTGTAGCTAATTCAAGCCAAAATAATTTATGGAGTTTTTTCAATTCTTGTTCATTTATTGTATCAACATCAAAAGATTGTTCTTTAATAATGGGGCAATCAACAATATCCTGGAAGTAAATCAAAATATTTTTATTAATATCATTAAAATTTAAGTTATAAAACTTATAGTCGGGTTACCTCGCTTTTTTCGTTTTTCTGACTAGTTTCGCGGCACATATTCTCAAAACTAATTCCTTTCACTCTAACTGGTGAATTTCCAGCACTTGCTGATGGTGAATTTAATGATTTTCTAACATTTAAAATTTTATGAGGTGAACTAGTAGCACTATTTGATAATTTTGATTCCAATGGTGGAGAGCCACCTAAATATTCATCACTGCTTGAACTATTATGATCTATTGATATATTGTTAGCGCTATGAGCACTCTTTATTAAAGTTCCTCGAGCATGTCTAAATATATTTACATATTTTTTAATTTAAAATTAATTTTTTTTTAGTAACAAAATAGTTTAAAAAAAAAATTTAAAAAAAAGTGTATAGTTACCCAACAGAGCATTCAGGATCTGAACCAGATCTTACTCTAGGTATATGAATTGTACCAATTCTGGAAAAACCTAGTAATTCAATACCATCATCAGTATAAAATGATGGAATATCACAACGGACATGTGAGCCACGGAATAATTCTGATGAACCACGTAATGGTGCACTAGGTACTCTTCTCAATTTTTGTTTGCTTTTTATATGAGATGATGGCGTTGAAGGAGAATTCGGATCAAATATACTTACAAATGGTGGTCTAATATTATTAAATAGAGGTAAATAATAATTTGAATATTTTTAAATATATACTAGTATAAGATAAAATTTACATTGCTGTATTATTCCATGATTCATGCTCATGGTTATTATCTCCATCACCATGAATGGAATCTAATGAATCTGGAGTAGCACTTCTTGATCGAGTTCCAGTACTAGAATCCTATATATATAATATATAATCAAGAAAATATTTTTTTTCAATGATTTAAAAATATTTGTTTTTATAGCTTTCTTACATCAAAATCCCTAAAAACATCTCTTATGTCTGGCTTTCGTTTATATCGACTTTTTGTTCTTCCTCTTACAGTTCTATTAAGAGCTCGAACTCTTTGTTTTACAGCTTCGGCATGAGGTTTTGGTAGTCCATGTAGCAAAGGTTCTATATCTGAATTTTGAATTTCAAGTCCCTGAATTTTTATAAAATGTACATATTAATTTCGAAATAATTACATGCATACATGTATGTATATATTAAAAACAACAATATTATAAATTTACATGTTCAAAAGGTTTAGTAAGTTCTGGAAATCCAGCAGATACAAGCCATTGAGCTTCAAGTTCTCCCTCTGCAAAAATTATATTAGAAAATTATTTTAATTTCTTGCTTTTGAATTCAAAAATAAATAAACCAAAAATATTTTAATAAATTTGCAAATTATTAAACAAAAATTATAAAACTTGTTCGTTTTGATCGCCGAATTCAAGTTATTAAGTTAGTCAAAAGAAATATTAAAAATCACACCACCATCTTGCAGTGTATCCATACACTTCACACATATCATAAACATCTTGAAAATTTACTTTTTAATCTTAGATAGAAAATATTATGAATTAATCAAATTAATTGTTAAATGTGTGTGTTTGCCTGAAATAAAGACTGTAACATCCAAATACTCTCAAAACTTATTTTATTTTTATGTTTTCAAGCATTGTTTTATAAAAAAAATTAAATTTAAAAAAAAATTTTAAATTTCCTATAAAAATGTTCAGCTGTTCGATTTAAATTTTATAATGTTTTGAAAATTTAAGCCAAGTATACTCAAATTTTTAGATTTGACGGCTTGCTTTATTCTTGCTTTCATTTAGCGTTTACTAAACATTATTGCTCAGTTGCCATTGTAAAAAATTTTCAGTTTACAATTTGGATCATAAAGCTTTGTAAAGTTTGCGTTCAACATGCAATTTGGATGTAACAGTTACTTGCTTAATTACGTATGAATCGGGGGTTTTCGTTTATTCACACTGCGCTGAAAGTTTTACATTCGAACCAAAAATTTCTAAGTCGCAGCGTTAAACGTATGTTTACAGTTTTTAAACTTTAGCCAAGTTTTTTTTGCTTGCGCAATCTACAAATTCTGAAAGTTTTAAATAATGAGTCGTTCGAAAATAACGGGAATGTTTATGAAATTGCATACTTTTTTTATTATTCACTGCAAAATAAGAAAATTTTAAAAACTTATTTTAATGAGCCTTCAATATCTGAATCTGCCATTTTGAAATTTAAAATTTTTTTTGAATTTTAAATTTAAAGCAAAATATATTTGATGATGCAGCGACCACTAGATGCTTTCTAACATTTCTTTATTACAGATTGAATTTCCTAATCGCTGTAATAAAGGGAAAGATCGCACTTTATTGCAGCCAATAATTTCCGAACGACCTATATTGCGATCGCATATAACGTGTATTTTCGAACGTACTACAAGCTAAAACTATTCTAGAACTGAATAAACGAAAAACCCCCTCTAATTTCAATTGCAGATTTAATTCTATTTTTCAAGTAGTTTTGTTTAAAAAATTTAAATATATTTTTTAATTCAAATAATTTTGACATTACTTTATCATAGATAACAGATATATTATAATGGGAGCGGAAACTTTATAAACTACAAATTATTAGTATTGTTAAAATTGATACTTATAAGTTTATATTTAATTTACAACTCTGAAATATTAATACTAATGCATTAACAACTTGTCAAAAATAATGTTATTATAAACTGATGCACTTTAATTGTTAAATGCTAAATTAATATTACATTACATAACATTTATATGTATATATGTATGTATGTATGTAGATAAGACGTTCAAAGAAGAAAAGAAAATCTAGCTGCTATTTTTAAAATTTTCTTTTTGAACTGATAAACTTTTTTAAGTTCATTCAACCGTAAAATAAAAGCAAATTCAACATTTTTTTAATTTATTTAGCATTGTACGTACATACATACATATGTACATAAATTGTTGTTGTAGCCAGATATCAATATTTATATTTTTTTTAAATTGATAAAATTTGTGAAAACTAAAACTACCATTACTATTAAATGATTTTTTTGCTTTTCCAAATTTCTTACCTTCGTAATGACTAATTGGTTCATTATTTGATTGTAATCTGTATTCGCTTAGGTATTCATAAAATTCTGGCTCAGAGATATTGTCCATATCCAAAATCAATTTGGCACCAAAATTAATATTTTTTATATATGTATGTATATTATGTGTATACTAAATTATGTTTCACTCGAAATAAAGATCGACTAAAATATTGTATCCTAACAATTCATTGATAAAATAAACATTCACAAAGCTGAAAAAAAAATAAAAAAAAAATTATTTTTTGGAGTTTATATCGTAATTTTTAGCTTTTTAAAAATAAAATTTTAAAATTTCTGAGATATATAATATATGTATATGTAATATCAAAGACGTTAAAAATACAAAGATGTACCAACAAGATAAATTTCTGCTTAAAAAATCAATTCTGGGATACCAAACAATGGCAGAACATAAATACATTTTTAGTCTTTGGTGTTTATTTTGTTATTCTCACTCTCTTTCTTTTCTCTTATAAATTGTAATGTAATTATAATGTCTTTGGTAATATTACAGACATCTTTATTCCCAAGACTTCGTGATACCACAGATATCTTTGCTCCCAAGATTCCGTAATACCGTAAACTCCTATAATGTACGAAAACAAAGATGTCTGTGATTACGGAGTCGTATGAGAATAAAATTTTGAATATAGCAAACAAAAAAAGGTTACAAGTTACAACAATAAAAGTTTTACACAATTTACTGCCATATTATAGAGAGATCTTTTAATTCATAACTTTTCTAAGAGAATCTTTTTTCAATAAGATTCTCCAACATTAAGAGAATTTTACAATCTTTTATTACATTAAGCTTACTCACATTGCCTTGTGATTGCCGTGACTATTAACTTTAATACGATAAATTTTTTTTATTTTATAATTTTTAATAATTATTTTAAAAGTTGTTATCAATTCATTTTTTATTTCCATTAGTTGGAAATTGAAAAAATTTACAAAATTTTTAAATTTTGTTCCTACATTTTTGTTGTCTTTTACAAATAAATTTCTCAATTTATACGCTAATTACTTTCCAATACATTTAAGAAATAAATGATTTATTCTATGTAAATGTAAGCTAAAAAAGTACCTATGGGTAATTGAAGCTCAAATAAATTGAAATCATATACTTATTGTATTTCCTATATTATATAATCAAGAATGAATGTAAAATTACTTTAATTATACTTTTATTAATAAGTACCATGCGTTCAGTACATGTACTTTTACTCATATCTTTTTTGAATATAAAATTAGTTTTAATAAAAATTAAAATATATTTTGTATTTTTCTTTCTCAGTCTTTTAGGTTTATTTAGGCGGCCCGTTCAAAGAACGATAAATAATAATTCTTTATAAGATTGAACGGAATTTAAATTGTATTTTTAAGCAGGAACTTAAAAAAATGATACTCAAACCATCCCAATTTTTCTTAAAATTTTTTCGGCCAAATAAAATAATCTGTCAATGTAATTAAGGATTGTCATTGAGAAATTCTTAATATTGAGAATTATCGGGTCTCAATATAAAATTTGCAATTCTTGAAAAAAATTATCCAGAAATTGAGAATTATTTGTTACAAAATTGAAACGTCTGAAAATTAAAACCATACGAATCATTCTAATGTAATTAAAATTAAAACCCGTGAATTGGAATTGGCAATAAGAAGCTTTTTGTTAATGCAACGGTAGGATATAAAACTCTTATAACACAAAATATTGATGCCGTTTTAAAAAAAAATAAATTTGTTTTAAAATACTGGAAAAACGACACCCCTTCTAAATAATTTAAAGAACTATTTAAGACGAATAAATTAATTATTCCTCTAACGTTCACGTAAAATAAACGGAATTTAATTAGACGGCATTAAATAATTTTTCTAAGAAACGAACAAACTTGATGTTTTATCAATTGGTTTCAGAATTGTTGCTGTGAATTTAAAGATTATTAAAATGATTTGGGTTAATACCTAGTTTTCATATAAATTTTTTAATATTCTTTGTTTTAATTTTTATTAAATTATGGATTTAACTATTTTTAAAGGTCTGCAAGGATTATCCTTAACTGAATATTATCAAACCCAAAAATGTTGAATTTAACTCAACAGTTTTGTGAAAAAATATCTTCAGAAATAAAGAATTTCCTAATTTTACTTTAAAATTACATTTTATGCTTTCCAGTACGAAAATAAACTTCTTTTAATATTTTCAAAATTCATTAACAATAAATTTACTATTATGGTTTCGTTATCGTAACCTAATAATATTACTTGAATTTAAAAGCTTTTACAAATATTTTTGAATAGTGTATTCAATAGCATGTTGAATAAAGATATTTGCGAACACGACACTTTATACGTCATAATTGTCTATACGTAAATCAATAAATATAAAATTGTTTCCAAATAAAGAATAACTTTTTTCTGAGTCATTTGCCATATAAAATTCTTTTGAATTGTTTATTGGTTCAAAAATTCCTCAAACTAGTATTAAATAGCCATATATAAAAAATATTATAATACTTATATTTAGATAAGAACGTCAGTATTTATAGTAAATGTACAAAAGCTTTTTAATTGAAAATATTGGACAACTAAACCAAACTACCTTTTTTGAATAAAAATTCTAAATTAATTTTCGTATTTTTGACTTCCTCATCAATTTAAATTATTTTTATACTTTACTTATAAATGTTATACTTTTTAAATATATTTATACTTTATAAATGTTTTGTACTTATCTATGTTCCAAATGATAGCTCCTACTTTTAGTGAAAATAGAGACAATCTAGATATTACGAAATTAAATGTTAATGCACAATAAACTAGTCAACAATTTTAGGACATGCTATAATGCAAATCAATCAAATGAATCTCCGATTTGTTTCTACTTGCTATAATGAATGTAGTAAAAGATTATGCTTTCTCAAAATTTGAACATCTCTAATCTCTTTTTTCAAATATAATTAATATTGGAAGAATATTTTTATATTATGTTGTAACCTGGTCATTACTGAGATAGTTGTAATGTAAAAAATATAATAAACATACAAAATCATATGAGACCTATATTTTTTCTCAATTATTTTGGAATTGTTTATGAATTCCTGTATATGTAAACATATAACAAATAAGTTTGATGTACATTGAATTTATACTCTGTAATTCATTAAAAAATATACACATGCACATACTGCGAATATATCACAAAGACGGTATATATATGTGTTTAAAAATTTTTATTTCGTGATATATCATTTCAGTTATATACTATGGCAATTTACAACCCTGTATATATATATACACAATTTTTACGCAAACTTTCGACAATTTTTTTTTAATTTCTTTAAAAAAAAATGTAATCAACCAATATAATCCGATATTTATGCAATTATATTAATCAGGTAATTTTTATACATAATATTATCATTAAAAAAATTTAAAAACGTTACTTTTCCATAGTAATTGGACTAATGTAATAATATTATAAATGTGAATAAATATTATAAACAGTATAATCTCAACATATCAGACCTTTATCACTTCGATCAACCATTAATCATCTGAGCCACGCAACAATGAGCAACTATTATTTTAGTAGGCAACAAACGTCATCATTTACACGAATTGTAAAAGGAAATCGTAGATCTCAAAGGTTAATAAGAAAAATGAATTGGAAGGCATAGAAACATACTGACCTGCACCATTAAATAGTGAAAATGTAAAAAATGAAATTATGTTGCCAAATAACGGAAAACAACAAACAAAAAATTAATGAACACAATGGAATATCCTTACAACAGGCTTTTTTCTGAGAATATCAGTATTATGATAGAGAACATTATACAACTAAACAGATCCCAGATTCCTTACGCGCCTACAATGACTGCCAGATCAATCAACAGTAATCTAGCTTCATATGACCAAATTAGATTCCTCAAAGCAAAAATATATTTAGTGAAAACAAAATAATTTCGGAATTAATAGCTATCATTATGTATGAAAATTACTGAAAAACTGCTATTTTTGTAAAATAAATTATTGAAAGAAAAATGCCGTAAATTTAAACATGATAACCGATTCTGAAGTTGTTTTAAAAAATTGCTTTACAAATCATTTACTTAAATGCATTGAGGCAAGATATTTGACATTATTTTCGATTATAGCACGAAAATAATCGCAAATCAGAATAATGTCTGTCTGAAATTTTATAAGCTTTTAAAAGAATTTTGAAACTATAGCACTGCTTTTGTTCGGAACGCTTCACATGTGAAAAGTGTTTTGAAAACAGAAATATGAAAATATAGAAAAATCATGGAAATTTTTGTGTAGCAAATTGCTTAAAAATCTAAACCTGTAAGATTCTGAACTGAATTGTTTTCTGTTTGGAATGTTATTTGTATAAAACTAAGTGATTAAGTTATTTTTAATTTTATCTCTTGCGTTTCAACCTAAATTAAAGAAATTTCTACTGTATATATCAATACTAAAATAAATTTTTATTTAGTTAATTAAAGCATACTCTAACACTAAATAACACACTTTTATTAACAAAATCATTTATACCAATATAATACATACACACATATGTATAAATATTTCTTCATTTTAAAGTAGTGCTGAAAATATGAAAAATTTTAGTAACCTAATAAACTATGATCATTAAATCATTCATCATTAAATTTTTTCTTCTCTTCCATTTTTATACCTAATATTTTTTTTTCTTAAATGAAATGCAATTAAAACTTTTATTTTAAAATATTCTTCTTTCCCACTTCCCGCTTTACTTCTGGATCACTAAAAAAATCTTTAATTTGCGATTAACATTAGATTTACTTTTACATTTTTTTTTTTAGATTAAAAACAGTAAAAAACCATATGCATTTTAATTTTCAAAAATTACACACCACTGAAGATGATCTTAAAAAATATTTATTACGGATTCCAATTCCAAAATTAGGGGGAATTTTCTCACTTTTTTTCTTCTTTTGTTTTTAAATTTTAATTCATGGAGTTTAAATTTTAATTCATTTAAAATTTTATTAGAAAGAGAAAATATGCCCGTCCGTATTGCAACAAATTTATTTGATTTCACTCTAATTACAATATCAATAAGTAGTAGTCAAATTGATTGTAAGTCATGTTACTGTTAACACTGCTGTTAAATCATAATTCGGTAAGTGTCAAAAATTTCGTAGCCGTTGTAATTTTTATTCCT